CACAATGTATATTATTAAAACAAAAATGGGGGGGCGCCTGGGTGGCTCAGTCGTTAAGCGTCTGCCTTCGGCTCAGGTCATGATCCCAGGGTCCTGGGATCGAGCTCCGCATCAGGCTCCCTGCTGGGTGGGAAGCCTGCTTCTCCCTCTCCCACCCCTGCTGCTTGTGTTCCTTCTCTCGCTGTGTCTCTCTCTCTGTCAAATAAATAAATAAAATCTAAAAAAAAAAAAAAAAAAAAAAGGAATCTGGGCCTGCAACTCAGGGAGAAGATCTAAGTTTTGCACATGAGTTATAAGGAATATTTTCCATGTGGCTGAGGTTACTTAGGGACAGTGTATAAAAGAGAAACTTGAGGACAGAGCCTTGGGGCCACCAGCATCTAAAGCCACAATTCTTATGAACTTTCATGGCTTATACAATCATTGAAGGATGTGCTTATTCAAAATGAGGAGTCCTGAGACTCCCGAGATTATCTAAGTAGATCCAAGATGGGATCCAGGAAATTGCATTTTTTTTGGCAAGGCTTCCAGGTCATTCCGATACGGGAGAGAGAGCCTTTGAGAAACACAGCTCTGAAGACATAGCACTCCATGGAGGACTCAGGTAGAAAGAAAACCAGATAGTCATGGCCAGGAAGCCAAAATATTTTTGAGGCAATATATGTAAAACAAGTTAAAAGAACATTGTGAGGGGCACCTGGGTGGCTCAGTCGGTTAAGCGTCTGCCTTCAGCTCAGGTCATGATCCCAGGGTCCTGGGATCGAGCCCCGCATCGGGCTCCCTGCTCAGCGGGGAGTCTGCTTCTCTCTCTCTCTTCCTCTGCCTCCTCCCCCTGCTCATGCTCTGTCTCTCTCTCTCAAATAAATAAATAAAATCTTAAAAACAACAGCAACAAAGCACATTGTGATATAACAAGTGGTTATTGCATATAGGCATCACCTGCGGGAGCTTTTCAAACATACTAGCGTGGGGATTTCCCCATAATGGTGGTTCAAACTCCCTCGTCAGCATTACTAAGAGGAAGAGGAACTGCAACCTTCAAAGTATAAGTAGAGGAAACAAACAAAACACATTCCAACAGCATGCCCACTGCTGGTCTGTGGCAGCCGCCACAAACCAATGGGTGGGTGCAGCAATGGGGTAAAGAGGTCTGAAGATCCTGAGGAAAGACCTGAGAGGAGCCAGGGACTTTGAGGGGGGGAAAAAAAGACAAAACCACCCTCAAAAGAGAATATGAAAGAATATATACAAAAATAATGAACACAAAGGGGGACTTGGTAGCATATACCCCTGGCTACAGAGAGGGGTCTGCAAGGGGGCGGGACCAGAGAGGGTGACTTGGAGAAGCCCAAGGTTCTGTGGGAGAATGCAAACTATGGAGAAGAGGGGGTGTTCCTGGGAGGCAGGCAGTGAAGGGAAAGAAGGAGCAAAAATGAAGAATCCTACAGAGAACAGGAAAAAGACACACTTGGTCCTGCCCTCCCAACACCACCCATGAAAGAATAGAACACAGAACAGAGCAGAACAGACAGAAGAATGTGCTCTTAACTAGGCACCTGCCCATGACATGAATACAAACAGAAAAAAGCAGACCATTTCTAGAGAGAATGACTGTGAAAAGTGAGACGTTATGAATAAAAGCTCCTCTGCTCGTGAAGTCTCCCCAACAAAACAACCATAAAGTTGACAAGAATTGCAACACAACACTGAATTGAATAGTCTCCAACGTGCATCTGGGGATATGGAAAATCCCCCGAATCAGAAATACAAAAGCTGAGAGAAATCAAGAAAAAATCAGGAAGAAATGCAACGAGAGCTGATTGAATTTAGGAAAGACAGAGGAGAAAATCACAGGACTGTAGCAGTAATAAAGAACAGGCTACAAGGTGCCCACAGGAGAATGGGTTCAAATAAAAACTTAATAAAGGGAACTGAGTAGGAGAAGGAAAACAAACAAGAGAATGAAAATGAGAAAATAAATTAAAAAAAGGGATCAGAATGAGGTTGAAATGGAAATGAGCAAAAGGAGGTCAAAAGTGTGTACTCCTGGTGTCTCTGAAGAAGAAAACAAAATAATGGAACAGAGTATTTAAGATCGTAATCCAAGAAAAAGTTCCAGAAATAAAGAACTGAATTGACACATTAAAAGGGCCCTGGGGGTTACCTAGGAAAACTGCATGAATAATCAACTCGGAATTATTAGACTTTAAAGAAAAAGAAAAAAAAATTCTCAGAGCCTCTAGGCAAAAAACGAAAACACTTAACACAGGAAAGAGAGATAGATTGGCTTCGGATTTCTCAACAACATACGAAGCAAGGAAACAGTGGGGCAGCATTTTCTAGACACTTAAGGAAAAGGAAGGTGCCCTTCAGGTTTCAAGGTCATAGAAAATCAGTTTTGAATGTGTTAGAACTTTAGGGATACTGTCCACACGTGCTGTTTTAAAATTTTTTAGTAATCTCCATACCCAACATGGGGCTCGAACTCACGACCCTGAGATCAAGCGTCCCGCGCTCCTCCAACTGACCCTTAGGCACCTCCCACACATGCTCTTGCTGAGGAATTCTAACAGTTTCTAACTGGAGGGTGAGCTTCATCCAACCAAAATATGTCTGGGGACAAAAGACCATTGGAGAGCATTTCACATATTCCACTTATAGAGTTGAGACTAAAATTGGGTGGCATCAGGGGTTGAAGAAAAATATATAAACATTTATGTCTGAATAAATAGAACAAATACAACTGAAAAAAAATGGGAGAAGGGGGAGAAAAGGGGAAAAGCAGGGTTAAGACCGTTCACTGTTGTGTAGGTGGTGGTAGGAAGGGGTCAAAGAATATCATTTGGTAAAGACACCTCATAGAAGTGGAGAAAAAAGGGAGCGCACTACAAAAATCATTAGTAAAAAAGTAACCACTAGAATGAAAATACAAAGCTTCCTATAAACCCTAAGCACGCACGCACGCATGTATGCACATATGCGTTCGCCGAGACACAGTAAATATAATACACTCAGTAATTACAACAGATGACAGAGCTGAGAGCAAACAGCAGTCATATCATAAAACTGAATGTGCCTGACTTGCCTATTAAGCCAAAAAGACTTGCAAATCGGCTCATATAGCAAAACTCCAATTCTGTGCTGTACACAAGTCACACGCTTAAAACACAGCAATTGAAAAAGGTAAAAATAAAAGGGGTGGACAAAGATTTATCAGGCAAATGGAAATAGTAAGGCAGTCAGGTTTGCAATCCTGCTGGCAAAATAGATTTCAAGCCCCAAACGAAAGACAGGAACAGAAAATTCAGAAACACAAAATGGCCCTTGAAAAGATCAAAGAATATTGAACTTTATTCATAGTAAGATAAATGCAAATCAAAACTATGTTGAGATGCCATATGTTACCCATCAGGTTGGCCATGCCAAACTCCCCCCAGGTCTCACTGATCTCTGGGCTGGACAAATTGCTTATTGATTAATCCCTGGACCATTTGGGGATTCAATGTATCTCAAGTTGAAAACCACGATTAGAAAACGTTCTCATTTCTTTTCATAAATTCTACCTATGTATCTATAAAATCTATCTACATAGGCTTTAGATTTTCTCCTTAGCTCTGAAATGATCAAAGTTAAAACTTGCGGTTACTGGGATTGAAGGCTGCCTGGGAGTAACATAATATACCTTTGAGCAAGTCGGTTTCAATTCACCAGTGTCCTGAGCAATGTACTGTCCTACTTTCCCCTAACTTTCCCCCACTGGCTACCTTCCAGCCAGGCAAAACGAAACTCAGACTTAGACCCAAACTCTCATATGCACCTTCAGATAGCCGTCATGTCTAAGTGCCCTTAACAGAAGGGAGAGAGCGGTTTTGTTCTCAGGAAAACAGGACACACAGACAAGTTTTAATTGAGTCTATTCATCGAGCAGAGTGCATGATAACACAACCTTGATTAATTTTCTGTGCTCAGTGTTTTAACTTAGAAGGTCGAATCTAAAGCTAAAATGGGAAGGCCTGCGCACATTTTCAGCTGATTCCAAGCATAATACAGCAGAAACACCAGGTCCATGTGTTCTTACAACTCTGGGATAACGACTGGATAGACTTCTCCGATAAAAATCATGCCCATAAGACACTGTTTTAAAATAGCTTTAGAGCAGTGGTTCCTAAGTGGGGGCAATTTAGCCCCCCCCAAGGGGCATGTGGCCATGTCTGGAGACATTTTTGACAATCTTAACTGGGGAGTGCTCCTGGCATCTCGCAAGTAGAGGCCAGAAATGCTGCTAAACATCCTTCAATGCTCAGGACAGCGCCCCAGAACAAGGAATGATTCCCTACAGAATAACAGTTGTGCCACAGTTCAGAAAATCTGCCTTAGAGACAGCTATCCGCTTGTCTTAGCTTTGAACTCCCCCAGAAGTTTTCTCTTCATCTCTTATTTGAGATGGTGATGGTCTGTCTGAATGTCTGTATCCCCTCACAATTCTTATGTTGAAATTGTAATGCCCAAGGTGATGGTATGGTGGTGGTGGTGGTGGGGGAAGCTTTGGGACGTGACTCAGGTCACGAGGATCCTTCAAATGGGATTAGCGCCCTTACATGATGTGAAATCTGCGACCTGGAAGGTCCTCACATGGCCAGGCTGGCACCTTGACCGTGGACTGTCGATCTCCAGACCTGGGAAAAGGAAATTTCTGTGCTTTGTAAGCTGCCTGGTGTGTGGTATTTCATTACAGCAGTCCAAGCAGACGAGGACAGGGACGAACGTGAGGACCGAGATCCGGCTGCAAAATACTCTGGACCAAGTTAAAAACTGAATTAGGTCAATGAAGTATTTAACTAGCACCGGAAGAAGCATGTTGGCCCCGATTTCCTACTCAGACTCGCAGTTAAGGTACAAAGGTGTGGATGTCTAGGGTTAGGTTACATGAGATTTCTCACTTTGGGGGACTTCGTGCTCAGCAGGTGGTTACCATGGAATCATTCACACCAGCACAATGGTGCTCCTCCAAGAATGTATTTATTTACATGAAAACACCGTTTTATACAAATTGAAGACAAATCTTAAAGGGTTTGTCCAGGCAGGCCTTCCCCTTTCACTTTCTTTCACTGTCATAAATAAAACGTTTTAGACCTGTTAAAAGAAACTGCATCTGCCTCTTCTTCTCCCCCAACCTCCAATGACTCTGAATATTTAATGTTCCTAGTTAGCCTTTAAAGAAAACTCTTGCCCAGGGTGATTTTATTTAATTTATTTATGTAATACAGTGTAGAAAGCTATCATGGTCATAAGCAATGATTCTGTACAATCATCCTGCGGAAGATTTTTTGGGAGAATTCCTGGTAATTTGAGACCAGCAGAGCACTCCCTCCCCCCACCCACCTCACCCGTAAAAGTGCTTACAATGAACAGGGATTCTTTTCTTTATCAAAGATCCAAAGGTACATGGACAAAAAAGTTTCAATTCTCAATGCCTAATGTGTGCACATAAAACAGGCACAAAGGAGTAAATGTGTATCCTTGTAATTCCTATATCACAAATCTAGCAGAAGCAGCAATCTGTACAGTAAAATGCAATCATGGAAAAAAATTCTCTAGATCATTTGGAATACTTAAATGCTCAACTTTAAATGCATAGTGATCAGGAAAAGAATACGTAGGCAAGAGAAGCAGCTACACTCCCACGTTCACACGAAGCATCCCCCATCGATTCTTAAAGCATATTTCAAGTAGGACTTAATTGGGTCACAAAACCACAAGAATAATATACAACTGGCTAAGGGGCTACGAGATAAATAATCAGGAGAGAATCTATTCATGCACTAGTTTGATACAGCTAAGTTCTTTACAGTACACAAAACCCATTAATAATGTAGAGACCAGAATGTAAAGAGAGAGAATACATTGCTGATTTGTATATTAATTCAAGTTCAGGCATCTACTTGTGTTACAGCATGGCTGTCGAAAGGTGATAATGAGTAAATAATAAAACGGAAGGGCTTGTTTCTTTCCACATTATTCTATAAATGAACACCGATGGGTAGTGAAGCAATGGTTTTGCTGTCCGACTTCAGAGGCTGCTGTGGCGGGGGTCTAGTTCTGCATCTGCTCGAAGAACTTGTAAGTTGGGTTTTCATAGCCATTCTGCTGCATCTTGGAGAGGTGGCGCTCCTCTGGGGTCACTGCAGCGTCAACCTGAAATGCAAGGGCGAGGAAAAATGAATTAGGAAAACTGATCCTTTGAGGGTGCACACGCTGAACGGTAAAGGATAAGGAGTACAGTTAGCTTCTTTCCTTCCCACGGACCCCTCCAAACAGGATGCCTGTGCCCACCAGTTACGAGGACAGGGACGAACGTGAGGACCGAGCTCCATCCGGCCACCAGGTGGCGCCTAAAACCTTGCCGAGCTGGCTCTGCCCGCAAAGTGCTCACTGGTTGCTTCCCCCTCCCCGCACCCCCCGCCCCACTCCGCTTAACAGTAACTGGATACATGCAGCGCAATAAATATTTTTTTTCTTCCCTGTTGGCTCACTAAGGGACCAAAAGGCCACAACGGAAAACTATTTTACTTGAAAGTGTGGTGCTAAGCTGGAAATAATCCAAGAGCATCATGGAGAGTCAGCGACGTATACTGGCAGAAGCTTAAATAAATTCTAGAATGCTGATTATCTTTCCACACTCATTTTAATTTGTCCCTGCTTTCACTAAATTTAATATGACAAGAGGTCTGAGACTCTTTTAATTAAAAGGATGATCTGCCCCGCAGCGGGCTCCCTGCTTGGCGGGAAGCCTGCTTCTCCCTCTTCCATTCCCCCCTGCTTGTGTTCCCTCTCTCGCTGTCCCTCTCTCTGTGTCAAAATAAATAAAATCTTTAAAATAAAATAAAATAAAATAAAAGGATCTACCTATATCAAAGGGGCCATGTGGCAAGGAAAAGAGGAAAAATATTCGAAGAATATACTGTTCTAGATTATATACACACCCACATATATGTATTTAACTGAGTACCAAGACTACAGAAGCATGTCCCGCCAAAGATTTACAAACAGAGCTTCTGTGTTGATGTGCTGTGCGTCTAGGAGCAGGCCAGCAGCTGTAAACCTGGCCGTGCCCCATCCGCCCCCGGCCCCGCATCACCGTTAGGACAGAGCTGGGAAGGGGTACTTGCTCTCTGCACATCCGACAAGGTGTACTCAGCCCGGCGAGTGGGGAGTGGCTGTCCGCGGATTCATCCTCTAGCGTATCCCGCGGATTCATCCTCTAGCGTATCCCGCGGATTCATCCTCTAGCGTATCCCGCGCACCACCCACACTGCACAGGACGGAGGAAGTACTCAACTCTCCGCCGAACGCACGAAAGCTGAGCCCGGTTACTGCGCCTCTCGAGGAGCTGGAATCGCCCCTCGGCCAAGGCCGGGACAGCCGGGCCGGGACGCGAGCAGCTCCCTCAGACCGCCCGCTCCGGGCACGATTCCCGACTCCCCATCCACCGGCCGTTCCCGTTCCGCGGCCCCGTCGGATGCCCGCACTCTGCGGCCGGTCCTCACGCTCCTCGGACCACAGGCCGGGGCCCCTCCCCTGAGAACGGAGCCGCCACGCGCTCCCGCCAAGTCCGCGCCCGGAGGACACGGCGCGAAGGGACGCTCCCACCGCCGTCCTCACGGGAAACCATCGCAGGAGCTCTTCGTAGCCCTCCTCGTCCTTCGCCCCGCTGGGCTGTCCACAGATGAGGTCACCGTGCTTTAACTGGCAACTGTGTCACTGGCCCCGGACTTGTCAGTTCAAACGCCATCATTAAAGATGAGCCCCAGCGAGGAGATTTCGTCCACTCCCGGACTCTGCTCGCCAGGAAAGAGCCTGTCTGCAGCACCAGGGCCATACGAACCTGGGCATCTTTTAGTCTCTGTGCCACCTTTTAACTGATACTTCAAATGGTGTCAAGATTAAAAAAAAAAAAAGTCCTGCTGAGATCCAGGGCAAAGCTGCCGCGTTTCCGAGTACAGAAAAAGTGCTGCGCGACGGTTAGAATAGCATGTCTGTCCTCCAGGAACACATCAACCTCGCACGGGCTGTCACCTGTCATCTGCACTCATCAAGGTCAGGGGAACACCTGGCAACTTCATCATTTATCTCTCCAAAGGCCAAAGCCAAACGCTTCCAACAGCCCTGCCAGAAACGGGAGGCTGAGGCCCGGGTGGAAGGCAGGCGTCTAACGTTCCTGCCTTCTTGGCCCTTTTCCACCTGCTAATCCTCATTATCTTTTGCTGCTGGGAGGGCAGCCCGAGCCTCGCCATTCCTGCAGGAGGCCGAGCCCTCAGGCCTCAGAGGGCTTGGGAGCTTCAGGAGGAGGAATTAGTTTTATAAAATGGCGCCCAAGGAGTTTGGGTTGTATCTCTTTATCCCGAGCCCCTCGGAAGCTCCAGGTGCAGCACTGAGTACTCACATCCGCAGATAAACCTACCACTAAAGGAAGAGCATCAGGTAAGGGGGAGGCTTCCTCCCTGGTGGAGCTCAGGGACAGGTCCTTCAAAGCTAAGCTACTGCACTGGTGGGGGCCGCCAGGTGAGGGCCAGCCCACTACGGTGCAGGCAGGGCCTTGGCATTAACAGCTCAATATTAAACCTCAATATTATGTCCCTGAAAGCAGAGCTGGGGGAAGTGGAAGCCAGTGATGCCTGTTCTAGAAGGAATGAGGGAACAATGGAGTTGGGGACAGAATCCCTGTTGGCCCACCAGGCAGGGGGATTGAACACACGTGCACACCACCTCTGCACATGCCCCCCCTCCCGAATTTCTGGATTAGATCGCATCAATAACTGGTCCTAAGTCTTCTTCTGGCTCTAGGCTCTGTGCCCTGTGTCTCATGGGAGACCCCGGGACCCTCTGCACTGCACGCTGGCCTGGCTTCAACCTTTATTCCTTCACTATATCCAGAGGAATTTACAGCTCAACTGTCAAGACTGCAGAGATGAAATTCTATCTGGGTCTCCTCCGTGTCATGTTGTCTCCAGTGTGGGTGCGGTAAGCCAGTAAACTCCACGTTTTAAATTTTATTATGTAGAATAATAGCAGGATGTGTTACTGGGTGTCCCTTTCATGCGTGACACTGAGCTAGGCTGAACTACAGAGTCCTGGCGCCTAAGATATTCCATTTCAGCTCATCCAAGGAAAGGAGAAGATAAACCAGTGACTTAATACATAATCACAATGGAGGGTAAGAACATCCAAAGAGCTCGTGCAACAGGAAGGAAAACAAAGCAAACATTAACCAGGTTTTCAAGCTAGTATCCCTCCTCTAATCCCCCGGGGTTGGGTTTTGTGTTCAGTCGTGTCCACGTTCATCTTTTTAACTGTAATTCCATCTCCTTTATGAGTAGTTCCCTTCTGTTTGTTGCCCATGTTGAGTGATCTTTCAGGCAGGCAATGGATTCCTTTGCTATGCCTTCATCATCATTCATCTCTGATGCTTTCCTTTGACTTTCTAGTATTTCTTCCTGCTGTTTGCTTCCAGCCACAAGAGGTTCTGGGTCCAGCCACTCTTTTCTGTACTTCTGCTTCCCATTTAACCTGATCCACAGGTTAAACCTGATTGCACAGCACCGTTAGAGGTAGCCAGGTACTCCACCTTGGTGGGTCACCTTCTCGCCAGGAAGAAAGGACCCCTCAGGACTTATTTTTATCATGTTATCAGTATGATGGCACATTCGTCAGGGAAAGTCATATGCTGTAACTCCATAAAAAGCTAACTGGGACCTCTCTTCTTATTTAGATCATTAATCAGATGGCTGGGGAGGTGTGAAGGATGGGAGATTTCTGATGGTCCAGTTATCAGACCCGTGAATGGAAAAATTTTTTATACCCTATAATAAAGAGAAATTTGTGCCACCACCCCCCCTAATTTTTTGTTACACAGATATATTTGGCATATAATATTATGTAAATTAGGACACACAACCTGTTAACTTGATACATTTATACATTGTAATATGCTTGCCATTGTAGTGGTAATTAGCACCTCTGTCAGGTCAGAGAATTATCCATTCTTATCCTTTCTTATTAGTGTTTGGAATAATTAAGTTCTAACCTCTTAGCTAGTTTGATGATTACAATACAGTTTTGGGGTCTACATTCCTTATACTGTGCATTAGATCTCCAGGCCTTATTGACAACTTGCTGCCAGTTTGTACCCTTAACCCTCTGTCCCCTCCAACCCCCTTATTAAAGGAGAGGTCTCCATTTAGGAGGAGTGGTGGAAAGAGCTACAATATGCATTTTGGAATATCCAGTGTCAATCGACATCAGTGTAGAAGAGTGCCATCTGGGGTCAGTGGACGGGGGCAGGCCCTCATTAAAGCAGGAGCAATTGGGATCAGCCAGCGCTGGGCCCCTCAGCCACCAGAGACGGTGGGCACCTGAGGGACAGAGCGGAACAGAGGGCCGTCACATCACCGCCTGAGACACCAACAAAGCAGTCACTCCTTGGGGAGCGTGGCTAGCTAATGGCTTACGGAGTGAACCTCTGGCCTCAGGGCTAAGCAAATCTTTTTATTTATTTATTTATTTTTAAGGATTTTATTTATTTATTTGACAGAGAGAGAGATAGCGACAGCAGGAACACAAGCAGGAGGAGTGGGAGAGGGAGAAGCAGGCTTCCCACTGAGCGGGGAGCCCGATGCGGGGATTGATCCCAGGACCCTGGGATCATGACCTGAGCCGAAGGCAGACGCTTAACGACTGAGCCACCCAGGCGCCCCAGGGCTAAGCAAATCATCACATCAATGTTTACTGCTTATTTTTTAAAACCAAAAACTGGCAACTGCTAATTTTCAACTGGTAACAGCTCTATTAATAAAAACACTGGGCTCGTTTTCATTTCCAGGTCTCTGCGATCTCCAGCAGGCAGCTTCCCGCTCTGAGAAGGGAGGTCCTGGAGACCGTGGCTTTCATCGTTTCTTCACGCACTGACGGTGTGGAGCAGGACAGTATTCCATCCAGACAGACGCAGGCCAGTCTAACTGGAAACGCTCATTTATTCGCTCTCAGTGAGGCAGGGTTACTCGCTAATGAAGCAGGTGAGCCAGAGCTGGGAATAAGCTTGCTCCTGGGGACCAGAGTGTGAGAGCCTGCTGAGATGGGCAGAGAACGTCCAGGGAAGGGTCCCATCCATTCGGGGTTGATGCTGCTCTGCTCTCGGACAAACGCTGCTTTCAACCCCCCGCCGCCGGCACCCGATACTGCCTGCACCAGGGGAGACAACCTAGGTGCCTCCGTGGGCCGCAGCTCTTCAGGGCCACATTCACCCACCCCAGCCAGACCATAACCATCCCGAGGGCAGCAGGGATGGCAAACGGCACCTCGGATGAGGTTCTGGTCTGGGGCCGCCGAGCGCTGTTCCACACGGAACCGCGAATGGGGATGCTTCCGGAAAGGAGAGCAAGGAAGGCCTGGAGAGGGAGAAGGGGGTGGTTTCCAGGCTCTCGACACCTGCACTTTCCAGAAGGAGGAGGTGAGAAGAAATAAGGAGAAGAAACACAATATAAGGAGGGCACTCACTCGGGAGAGGTTTCTAGATGCTCTCAAGTAGTGAGCGGAATGAGTCTCAAGAGAGGAGCTGAACAACTGTCCTCCCTACAATTCTGCTCCTTCAAGGATGCCTCCTGGCTTCAAAATGAAAAAAAAAAAAAAAAAAAAATTTTTTTTCTGGAATCTGTGTTCAAGTGTCAACTTATTCTCTGACAACCCAAATCCAAGGAGACTCTTCTTGGTGACTAACCACAAGAAACTTTTAACCTAGGCGGCTGTAACGAGGCTTAAAAGGTAACTAGTTCTCAGGGCGCCTGGATGGCTCGGCAGGTTAAGCCTCGGACTCTTGGTTTTGGCTCAGGTCAGGGTCTCAGGGTCTTAAAATCAAGACTCGCCTCCAGCCTCCAGCTCTGTGCTCACCACAGACTCTGCTTGTCCCTCTCCCTCCCTTTCTGCCCCTCCCCCCACTCATGCTCTCTCTCTAAAATAGATAAATAAAATCTTAAAAAAAAAATACAAAGGTAGTTAGTTCTCCTGTACACAAGAGATACTATTTTCTACGCTTCAGACTGGTGACTGAAAGGAGAGAGATCAAGGATTCTCAAAAATGACTGCATGTCCAATTCAGCTGGAACATTTTCACCATTCAGCTTCTAAGCCCATTTGGAAATTGTTTCCTTAGGTCTGGGCTGGGACCTTTTAAATAAGTAGCTGGGAAGTCTCATGCACAACCATGGCAGAGAGTCCCTGAGAGAGACCTTGCTTTTCTGCCCAGCATCCCTGGGCTCTGTTATAGGCTGAACTGCATCCTCCCCAAACCTATGTTAAAGTCCTAACCTCGTGCCTCAAATTTGACTGTATTTGGAGACCGGGTCTTTAAAATAGTAATTAAGGTTAAATGAGATCATTGGGGCAGACCCTAATCCGACAATACTGGTGTCCTTACAGGAAGAGGAGATTAGGGCACAGAATGCACAGAGAAAAGATGATGTGAAGGCCCAGTGGAGGCCACCCTACAAGCCAAGGAGGGAGGCCTCAGAGAAAAACCAAACCCGCCGACACACTGATCTCAGACTTGTAGCTTCCAGAATTGTGAGGAAATAATTTCTGTTGTTTAAGCCACCCAGTTTTGGACATTGTAATGGCAGCTCTAGCAAACCAATATAGCTCTTTGGACTTCGGCGCCCCAAATAGGCACTAGACCTGATAAAAAGGAAGATGCTTTTTGGGTAGATTCATCAGTCTGAGGGCATTACACGTACAATGACTGGTGACAGACGGTGACTACACTTATTGTGCTGAGCGCTGTGTAATACAGAGTCGTCAAATCACTCCGTTGTACACCTGAAGCTAACAGAACATTGTAGGTCCAACTCTACTTCAATTAAAAATAAAAAAACTCCCATACAATATATTAAAGAAACGAGAAGGGGCTTTTTTTAAATGAGTGAGCATTCTTTTTTAAAAATTCAATTAATTAACATACAATGTATTATTAGTTTCAGAGGTAGAGGTCAGTGATTCATCAGTTGCATACAACATCCAGTGCTCATTCCATCACGTGCCCTCCTTCATGCCCGTCACCCAGTTACCCCATCCCCCCACCCCCCTCCCCTCCAGCAACCCTCACTTTGTTTCCTATGATTAAAAGTCTCTTGTGGTTTGTCTCCTTCTCTGGGTTTTGTCTTATTTTTTCCTTTCTTCCCCTATGATCCTCTGTTTTTGTTTCTTAAATTCCACATGAGTGAAATTATATAATTGTCTTTCTCTGATTGATTTATTTCACTTCGCATAATATCCTCTAGTTCCATCCACGTCATTGCAAATGGAAAGATTTCATTTTTTTGATGGCTGAGTATATTCCACTGTATATACACTACCTCTTCTTTATCCATTCATCTGTTGATGGACATCTGGGCTCTTTCCATAGTTTGGCTCTTGTGGACATTGCTGCTATAAACATCGGGGTGCAGGTGCCCCTTTGGATCACTACTTTGTATCTCTGGAGCAAATCCCTAGTAGGGCAATTGCTGGGTCGTAGGGCAGCTCTATTTTCAACTTTTTGAGGAACCTCCATACTGTTTTCCAGAGTGGCTGCACCAGCTTGCATTCCCACCAACAGTGTAGGAGGGTTCCCCTTTCTCTGCATCCTCGCCAACATCTGTCATTTCCTGACTTGTTAATTTTAGTAAAAGGGATTTTTAATTATTCAAGTATGAAAACACTTTTTTTTTTGTCCAAACATGAAATAAAAAAAACTGTTTTGAGTAGAAATGAAGTAAACTGATGCTGACAAGCATACATCTCACACTGTTTCAAAGGACTCAAGCTCAGAAATACTATTCTCAGAAGAGCAGTACCCAGAATCAGTGACACGGTCATTGCTTATCTGATGTGTGTAGAGGCCAGTCTGTCAGTCATCCTGTTCTTTCACACCTTGCTTCTCCCCAGCACGCAGCACATCCACACCAGTCTGGACAGGGAGAAGAAGACTCAAAGCCAATTTCCACCCGCAGATCTCATAAACAAGCAGCCCGGAGAATGTTAAGGGCTGAACACAATGAGGTTTCTGGCTCTGCCAGACATTTAACTTATTTAACCTTTTCCTGCCCTTCTCTGACGAGAATGGTGTGGAGCACGTGTCTTTGGGGTTAGTGAGAAGTTTGACTCACTGGAAATATCTGGACTTCTCTCTGATGGAAGAGACAATGGATAGGATATGGGAAAATCTGTATTTGGATCTTGGCCCTATTTAGTTTGACAGTGGGTGAGCACTTCTGTCTGGGTCTGTTTTCTCATCTACAGAATGAAAAGATCAATTTGACTGATCACTGAGATCTCTTTCAGCTCTAAAAATTCTCATACTTCTCAAGATGTATTCATTCACTTTCTCTGTTTCCTAGAAAATTACATATACTATGAGGATTACCCCCCTCCCCCCTCCATGGCCCAACACCAGAACTGCATTTTAAATGCACCTGGCTGGCTCAGTCAGTGGAGCATGCCACTCTTGATCTTGGGATTGTGAGTTCGAGCCCCACAATGGGTATAGAGATTTCATAAAAATAAATTCTTAAAAAAAAAAATAAACGCATAAGAACTTATCCGTAAATTTTCTATTTCAGTATTTTGTATCATGGGTTTAAAAAGTCCTATTTCAGTCTTGTAGCTACTCTAATTTGTTGGGGTAACCCACGACTTCCGTGCCGTATACACTCATGGTAGTCACATGTTGGTCTGTGGGGACAAAATCCTGAAGTGTCATCACGCAGTAATTGTGATGTCACGTGGAGAATCTTCTCCCCACCTCCAGTGTAACTGCATGAACTCCGGAAATGAAGATATTTCAGGTAGAAGCGAAGGGTAACAGGTTGAACATTGGAACAACCTTGTAAGCTCTCTCAGCTGTTTGGTGTCATGTGATTTTCTGTGAAACTTTGAAGGTAAGACTCTTTGCTGAAAATTAGTATTAATTGCTGCTACCTGGTTTTACTTATAAGTCAGACTCTTTAAGACAAAAAAATTAGGGAATAAATGAGTTCAGGTTTTTTAGGTTTTAGGTTTTTTTTCGAAGCAGACTTCTACCCCTTCCTTTTCATTTCTAACTTGGTAGTTTTTTTCTTTTCTTTTAAATGTTTGAGGCTAATCACAGTATCTTTAAGCCAGGCATCATCGCTAGTATTATTTGACATTTCAGTACAAATTCTAAGAAGCTGAGGGAGCAGCATACAACCCAATGCCTTGATCACAGTATTTCTAAGTCAAAATGATGAAAAACAAAACAAAACAGCTGCCAAACTTGAGCACCATGCAGGAATCTAGGTTTTTTTTTTTTTTAAGAAGAGACACTTGGATGATTCTTAGTTTTAATGCCAAGTAAAATCTCCTGCTAGTTTTCTTTAACTCCTGCTTGCAAACACGCAGCCACGTTTACCTACCTCCACCACACCATGATGAATGGACGTGTACTGTTTCTTCTTCAGCATCACCAAGGTGATGACGATCACTGTTGCTATGACAACTCCACCAACCATGAGTCCAATGATGGCACCTTTGTTTGAACCTACATCTTCTGCAAAGAACACCTTGAAAACAAGACAAGAAAAAGGACTGCAATTGCAGGAGATCACTGGAAAAGGTATGTAAAGAGTTTCAGTGTCTACCTTACGCTGTAAGTTTGAGTTGGTGACCACTCCATTATTTCCATTATTTGGTGCATACTTGGAAAAAAAAAAAAATCACACATTCTAGCTACTACTTTCAACCCCCTGCCCCCATGGCCTTAGGAAGGCAAAACAGTAGCCAAGAGGAACCTGGAACCCTCCGACAGGTGGGACATCTGGTGAGAGGTGGGGTGGGGATCTACTAAAGGATGGAAAGAAAGGCATGGGTCATGATTTTGAAAAGAGGTCGGCTGGGAGACCTGATGCATGACCAGTCTGCCTTAGGTGCTTTTTCAAACCCACAGATGTCCTAATTTCCTTAGAGGGACATTAATACATAGAAATAAGGCATCTGAGACAAAGGAGTTCATCCGAAGAAAAAAAGACACTTGTTACCGACTTTTAGCTGCGATCATTCATTAGGACAGTACTGAACCTCAGAGAAGTGTAATGCTTAAAAGAGAGTTTTTCAAAGGGAAGGTAGCAGGTGATGAGATAAGAATTTTAATCGTCACACAGAACTGCTTGCTTTCTGTTTTCTCCAGAAACCCCACTCAACCTGTTGTTTTATTCTTGCTGTTCGTTTGTATTGGACATCAGTGAATTTTGGAAAACACCATCAGAGATATTTATTCAGTCTGATAACTTTGCTGCACAGCATTCAGCATTCCTTCATGTTGTTTATGAAAGCAACTCACTATTTCTCCACTTTATCTACCTAACTGGAATTAAAAAAGCATGTGGCACCTTTTATAATCCTGTTATGTAAGGAGGTGATCTTCTGCCAGATCACCTGGTCCAACTATTACTAAGTATATACCACATTTATTATAGAAATTAATGAAAACAGCTCCCTAAGGAATTCTCTCGGTCTGATCTCAACACAGGAAGATGACCAATTTTCCACAGTGACAACAAACATCCCAGTGATCTGAAAAGGCAATATAAAATACAGCAGGTAGAGCTGATTTCTAAGTGTCTTACTCAGGGTATATCTGCAGCAAAACAAGAAACCGTTCATAATTATTTCTCTTTCTCAATAAATATGCTAGCTCAACATATTTATAAAAAGCAAATCACTAATTAGTTAATGATAAAAATGTGAGGTAATCAGGAATAAATGCAAGTCTGGACATCTTCCTATGCCTTTAAGAAAATACTGTAATTTTGTCGTATTCATTGCACTAATTATAGTACATTATCTTATCAACGAGCTCAGTAGAGGGAGCTCTTCTCCTAATTGTTGCTGCTACCATTAGTCACTGTCGCATCACAGGAGTTAGCGTAATTGTGGAGAGGGGCTTGTAGGACACAGACTCCAGAAAAATGCAAATCCGCACACTAATCTTCAGCTCCGTGCCCCACCAGCCCCCGACTCTTCAGCGGCTCCCCCAGAATTTTTTAACCTCTTCGGCATCAGCCACATCAAGATTGCCCCTGAATTCATAATAATTGAGATGGGATTAACCTGCCAGTGAAAATCATGCTTCAAAAAAACTGAAATGTTCTTGTACAAAAGAGATTATGGGAGTTGAAATGCAAATCTGAATCACAAGCCAGTTTTGGATTTGCTCCAATTATTGAGAGTGAAAAGAGGCATATGCAATACTTCACTGGCGTTTCTTCTGGAATTTACTACTTGGATTTATAAATTATATTTATGAATACTGGAAAGATATTCTCTCCCTTGAAAAAGAGCACCCATGTGCACACGCCACGCTACCCGCCCCCCCCCCCCCCGCCGCCGATGTGCACCGTAAATGCCTGAGAGCGAGTACTTATTATTGCTAGGAGAATTTTATCACCATTTTTTTGGTTGACTCCTAAATGTGCAATAAAATTGTCTTCTTTATTAATTTAACCCCCTTACTACGCATAGTGATAAGATGAAAGAAACCCTAACATAATGCAGGATATGATTTATCTGAAGCTTCTGGTAAAAGATTTTATGTAACTACGGGAGCTGCCTGTAAAGAGGATGGGTGCTCTTTGATTTGCTCTAAGTCTAACATTTGGGGGAAATAACAGTGGGTGGGAAGAGATTTTGTCCAAAAAGGAAGCTGCCGTCTTTCTTGCCCAAATCTTTCAGTGAGCAACACTGCTGGGAACATCATGGAGTCCTGCTCACCTCCCGCCTCCACCCACCTTGGTAGAAACCCAAAGATCCTACCCCTGCAGAACTTAAAACGTGGGCGCTGGGGAAGGGACGGGAAGGAAGGGCAGAGGGACAGACAGAGAGGCACAGGGAGATAGTTGACATATGCCAACTTCAAATCCACCTCTTATAAACCCGTCTTCCTAGAAAATAGAGGGGAAATGAATTAGAGCGGATATTGTGATATACATTAATTCCACTCTAAGCCCTGAGTGGGCTTAGCAGCCTTCTAGATGCAAAGAACTAATGTATAAAGACCCTCTTTTTCTTCTCTTTATGGGTCCATGATAACCCTCTAGGCAACTGCTTTATTCTTTTTATCTTTTCCTTCACTGGCTTTCTGGCACAGCATGAATAAGCGTGAACAGGTCATCTGGCAAGACAAACTGAGCGGCAGGAAGAGGTAAATTCTACGTACCAATTTTTGATGATGAACCTCATATCCTGAGTCATGTCGGAACTCGGCATCCATCTTCACCTCAGAGATCTCTTCCGTCTTGATGTTTGTCAAGCCTGAACCTGCAATAATCCATAAGCATCACACCATAATTAAATGACGCACGACACTCAATTCATTTTCTCTGTAAACACAAACGCTGTAACACAAAGGCTACCAAAACCTTCTTTCTAGGTCTGGAGTGAGAGGAAACAGATTAATGACTTTCTTCAAGAAAACTGACACCCTGTATTCACACCCTTAACCACGAACTATTTCAAACAAAAAGAAATTAAAGATTAAAGAAATCTGAAGTTAAAGCTTCTACTGCCTTTAAACACACATTATAATTTTTTTTTTTTTTTTTTAAATGGGGAAAACCAGAAGTTAAATGCTAGTTGGGAGGTTGGCAAGGATGCGTTCCCAGAATATACTAGTTTGTTTTAGGGGCTTATTGTTTAGCTGATTCTATGTCTTTTCCCATGTGTTCTCATTCTTTCAGAAAAAATAATAAAAGTCTTTAAAAATGAGCATTAATTACCTGGTGGAATCAAACTGCTACTTTAGGGCTTTGTTCCAATTACAAATAAATTATGTTCATGTATCTATGCAGTGAAGCACTGTAAAAATCATATTATTTATTTAGTTGGGTGATTTAGTTATAGATACAGAATAATTGCCTCGTCTGCTGAATAAAGATTTGCAGCACGTAATTTTAGAAAATGTTTCAGTGGGACTAACAGAATTTATAACTTACTAACTCTTCCTTCTCTATAAATTACTACATGAGTCTTACACTAATCGTAATAAATTTCGTTTTTCAAGTAACAATTTAAAGCTACAAAACAAAATGCAAAGCCATTTTTAAAACAAAAAAATGAAAGCACAAAATAGAAGTATCAGTTTCCATGTTGTAGCATTTATATATCCAAAGTTATAATTTTAGGATGAAAAAGGCTTTTAAAATCATGTCCTCTGCAGTATTCTCACCCAAGGGGCAAACCCTCAGCTCCTGAGTGAATGGAGAAAAATCTATCCATTTGCCTCCATTTCGGATAGCTCTGCCTACAAGAATGACAGGCTTCCTTACATCAAACCCAGATCAGTTCCCCTAAGGCATCTATGCTTGGAGCCTGTTCAACGCAGAGCAAGCCCGAAACCTCCCTTCCACCTTATAGCCTTGAGGAGGCCAGACACTCGAGGAGAGGGACCGTGTTCCTGACGGCTCTTGCTCAGGCTACACGTTGCCAGGTCCTTCAGCTCCCACGGGACCTCATTTCTTGCCTTTTGTCTAGTCACTCTTAGGTGCCGTGAAACTTGTCACACACCTTGCTGAAACTGAAAAGCACAATGTCCACAACATAACCGTGTGCCAACCTCACACAAAATGAAAAGGAGGATAATTTGACAAGACCACGGGCACCCATGCGGGTTGTGACAGATTCCCGACTCCTTGTCCAAACGTTCACAAAGCTTCCATTAAGAACTCATTTGAAAACAGCCGACATCAACGTCAGTCTACAGCTGGCCTGTAGACGGTCACCCTGTCTTCTCTGCTGTCTGTCTGGCAGAACTAGTCTCTTCTCCCTATCTTCCCAGCTCTCCTGCCTTCCAGGGGTCCACAGAGATCATGGAGAGCGGTTCTACCATTTCACCCTCCAGGTCTCCTAGCCTACAACCTGTCTGGGTCACAAGGACTTGGACGTGGTAGAGAGGTGTCGTAGATTTAGAATATAGCCACAAATCTGTTAATTACTCCTCCTTCCCAGAGGTGGGTCTGAATTCCCTTCTCTCAAGTGTGGACTGGATGGAGTGCCTTGCTTTTCATGAACAGACAATAGAGAAAGCGATCATGAGTTCTGAGTCTAGGTCAAAAAAGACACTGCAGCTTCCTTCTTGTTCTCTTTCTCGGATCACTTGGTCTGGGAAAGCCACCCACATGTCACGAGGACACTCAAGCAGCCCTACAAAAAGGTTCCCGCGATGAGGTATGGCGGTGTCCTGCCAACAGCCACGTGAGTGAACAGACCCACCAGAGTCAAGCTTCCACTTCGGATGGTTGCGGCTCTAGAGGGTGTCTGGATTGCAACCTCCTGGGAGGCCCGGAGCCAGGAGCACCCAGCTAATCCATGCCTGAAATCCTGATCATTACAGTAATTATAAGTAACTAAATGCTTGTTGTTTTAAGCTGCTAAGTTACGGAATTATTTGTTGCATAAGCAATAGAAAACTAGAACAAGGAGCTAGTGTTTTCTTTTTTCATCTTGATCTACCTTGGGCTTTAATTTCCTTCTTTCAGAAGATCACTCTCTCTAATATAGGCATAAAGTGGGACAGTTTCCCTTTCTCTCTCATCCTTTACCGTCCCTCACTGACCGTCCCTCAACCCCTGACCCTATCCCAAAGCTGTGGGGCTCTCTATTCTTTTTTTATTTTCTTGCTTTGAAATTATTTGCATTTTCTCATAATTTTTAACTCATTTTGACCTCTAATCTTCCTGACATTGTGTTTATCAGACTGTGATACTAATGCTCTGTTAATTTCTCATTGGCTATGTATTTTTTATCTTCCTACAGGCCCTTTTAAATCTGACACGGGGTTATAACCACAGTGATTTCTTTACAGATCACCCTTTTGCTGTCATCAGGATCTAGCAATGCAACAGTTAAAATTATATTTCTGAGACCTAAAGAAAAGTCTCTTCAATAGTCTTTTCTTTTAGATTTGTGGGACCAACAATTCGAAAAAACAGGAGCTCTCTGCTCAAAACTGTAAAAGCCCACATTATTTCTGAAAGGAGAGTGAAAATACTTTTGGTACTCAAACCAAAATTCAAATTCGCATAACAAGTCAGAACAACAGATAGTTAATTATAGCTCAATAGTCTGTGAGACTCTCAGGAGAAAGAGGTCCTTCTAGTTCATTTTTGTATAGCATGTGCAATCACTTAGAGAAAAGATTTTCTATACATTAAGCAAATCTCACTAAAAGGGAAGAAAAATTAGTAAGCTTGCACATAGGGAAACATCATCAGCAATAAGCTCACATAGCATGTGATGAAATGTAAAACGTGATGTGTAGATTTAAATACATCACAGGGACCTTTTGCTTATACGCTCATCAGGTGTGTTTTCTCTTTCTAAGCCCTGGTGTGACTCCGGGTCTGTCATGGTAAGTGAGCAGAATCTGTTGTTCATTTGAGGGGGGAAGGAGGCATGTCCCTCATGACACCTTTCACATGGCTTGGAGGTCAAGGACTTGGTCTCTCCTTTATGAGGCCTGGAGAAGGGTGGTAATAAATTATAGTGGAAACGGTAGCTTTCCTCTCCCTGTGAAGAGCTTGCTAATATATTTTCCTTCTTTATTTTGGTCAAATGGTGTTACTTGACCTTCAGAGCCCATTTTCCCCTGGAAGAAGACAGGGGAGTAGCCGTAATGGCCACTATGCCCAGAAATCACCACTGATAACATGCTTTCCCTACCTGACACTACATTCTAAAAGTGACGTGTCCTGGCTTTTCAGATATGAAAGACAAACAGAAGTCACCTTCCTCGGTCATGATTACAGGCAGACCCTTTCTTTGTTTGTGTTACAGTGACAACAGCAATTACTCAACTGCCATCAACGAATGACACGCTATGACAATCCCGGGAAGGCTAAGTTTGGAAAGTCTAAAGATATAATTCATCACACTGAACTCAAGCATGCAGTCTCCTCAAGTGCGATGTTGGAAGAACCCAACCTAATGCTATGAACATAGCAGGGAATTGGTCCAAGTGCTCGGGAGACAGACTGTAAGCACAGAAAGAGCGAGCGAGGTCTCACTACCTACCCAGCAAATAGAGCTATTCGTAAACTAGACTCTTCCTCACTTTGGATCTGATCCTTCTTTCTTACCATATGGCCCTTCTTTTATTGGGGAAGCCCTCACCTCACACAGTATAAGAAAGAAGGCTGAGCCTAGGCCATACTCTCATCTTTGAATCCTTCTCCTCTTCTTTGCCAATGGATGAGACTCAAATCTTTTGAAAGCTTTCCCGAAGCTGACCTCCAGTGCGTGCCGAGGTTAACACACCCTCGGCGAGTGCCCCGTCCACTTACATCACGGATGCCCTGGTTTATACCTTATGTGGGTCTGTATTCCCCTGACTTTCTAATTCCATCTCCTCTTTTAAATAGGCCAAGTGTGTTCCTCTTATTATACTTCAAGCTCCTGAGAACAGGGACCTTATCATTTCACTTCTTTCGACGCACCACAGCATTTAATGCACTGATCTTTGGGAAATACCAAAATGAAGTATTCCTGTTATGGAAACATCATTATTGTTATAATAAAGGCTTCAGATGGCTTCTTCCCCCGACAAAACACCTCTAACTGCTTTCTAGCTCTTCCCTTAAAACAGATTGTTTTGGGGAAATGCATGGACGTTGTTTTCATGTTACATTTTTTAAAAGAGGGGGGAACCAACTTTGGTGGTATCAACCTCCCCTCCCCCAGATTTCAATTAGAACACATTGGCCTAGAGGGCCCAATGGAGGCACTTTTACAAAATTGGTTGAAAGAGTGTTTCTAATTCACTTTTTATTCTTGTAGATGAAAAGCATCTCTTCCTTAAATACAAAATAGACAGTGCCATAAAAAAAGGCCCAAGGCAAATGACCATCCACCAGCTCACTGGTCTCAGCTGGTTAGAATGGAACTGACCCTCAGCCTTGAGCTCCACCACGAGCTGAGCAGGATGTGGATGTCAATGGGCCGGCTCCTTAAAATTCACTTGTGTGACAATGGCAATAAGGAAGACATTAGGAGAGCCCAAACTGTGTCTGACTTACTATCACTTAAGTTCCTCTGAAAAGCCCTAAAGGCAGAGATTTATAAAATCAGCGAGAACGGCCATCAAAACGGGTCACTCCACTCTCCCTGCCGCCCTGTGGACAGCCACACAGAGGCATGATGATGCCACAGGGCAGATTCGGAGTTCTCATCTATGGCTATGGCTGGGGACAGAAGTGACTGAGCTGGCACTGGCAGTGAGAGGGGCCGGGTCTCTTCTTGGCCTGCCACCAACTTAACCCGAACCAGGGACCTCCATGTGTTAATATCTTCCATCAAGGTGAATTCCCTGGCCCTTGACTATCGCACGGGGTCAATACGGGGATAAGGAAGAAGATAAACATGGGAAGGTATCCATTGTTTGTGGAGTTAAATCTCTCTAGAATATACAGCCATGTCAACTCAGTAACTACTGTCTTTGATTCATGGAAAACAATGGGTACTGTTCATTGGGCAGAGTTGTGCGTGAAGTCAAAAACCAGGCTCGCGTGCCCTTCTGTTGTGCGTGGCACTGATTTTTAAAACAGCTTGAGATACAGGCTGAATACAGAGCAAAGGGTCAAAGTGTATTTCTTCTTAATGCTGGAGGAACTGTAAAAAAAAAAAAAAAAATTTTTTTTTTGGTCTATTTTTCAGTGTTAATGGGAATTTTAAATGGTAACAAAAAGAAAAGACTTGTATATAAAACTATGCACATACATCCTTTCTGTCATTTTAGTTACTCATGGAGCGTTAAGTCCATACAACCCACGAAAAAGAAAATGTAAATATTTCTAGGCTCTAGAAGTAGTCCCGTTCTAGTATTTTTAGAAAGTCACATCTACATGAGAAACTGATTGAAGTTTGAGCCCAGTTCAGTCAGAAGAGGACCCTCTTCTCGGTGTCTGCACACCAAACAAGAAGGGAAGGATGAGCTATTCAAAGTGGAAACCACATTGTCACCAGACAGAGTGTGTATCTGTGTGGTTTTCCATTTTTGAGGACAGAGAGGTCTATATACTCTTCTCCACTTAAAAAAAAAATCCCATAAGTTGGAAGGGCTCTTTTATTGTTTGAAAAGGAAAGCTCGGAAAGAAAAACAGATTACTTCAACAGGAAATTGGAAAATAAAGTGTAAGGAAAAGCAAAGGGAATTTTTGAGAAGTCTGGTTTCCAAGGTCATTTCAAATCCTCTCCCTTAGTATCTGCAGTTGAGAGAGGCTAATAGCAAAGAGCGGGGACGGCGGGTGCTCGAGCTCAAGCGCAAGATGCTGAGGTAGAAGGGAACCGGGTTATACCTGGTCGGGTGGTCAGTCCTCGGTCGGCAGCAGGGCGGGCGTCAACAGGCTCAACTGGGCACAGGAAGCAAGATACACGGAAAGCAAACAAGACAAATCAAGATGGTGAGTTGTGGCTCCTGAACATAGAGCAGGGAAAAGCATGTGAAATACGTAAGTTATAAAAAAGGAACAGGTGGAAAAGAACCACAGTGAGTTAATCCCGAGTATCAGGGAATGGGAGGGGGACCACTTTGAAAGGCTTATCATAACTGATGGGCCAATCCTACTCCTTAGGTTTTCTAATAAAAGCACTCACCAGGATATGCAGCAACATCAAAGAAGAGGGGATGGGGAATGTGGAATTACCTCTCATCGAGTTTAGGGATGGTTTCTTGGCTTTTGATTAGAAATAAAATACAATATACCCAGCCTGGTGGAAAATCTTGAAGATACCTCCTTTTACAACTGTCCGATCTTATTTTACAGTTAATTAACTACAAAAGGACTCCCATTAAATCCCCAGGGGAAATGCAAATATGAATTTATCAGCAGAGGAAAGTCTCACCACATAATCTGCCATTTAGTGCACCAAATTTGCTCCCATTTTGAGGGTAAAAGAAGTAAACTAGGGAGTCAGTCTCTCTTTAATTTTAAAGGCTGATTATTAACAGACGACATACAGTTGTCATGTGTGAAATGTGAGTACTTCCTTTCGTATTTCTCAACTTCCACAATCGTCCCTTTGTGAGAATTCTGGGCCGGCCCCAAAGGAAGCCTTGCAGGTGGTACCACGGTGCCCGCCATTGCTTACCGTTAGCTGGCATTTCCTAAGTGCTTCTGAATCTCAGAAAATATTAACTTGAATTTAGACTGGTCTTTGAAGAAACAGGCAAGGGAGAGAAACAAAGCTTTAAGGATTAATAAACGGACAAGGGGCAAATGAAGCCGAGGGAGGGGAAAAGCCCTTTGGGTAAGGTCTGGGAAATACAAGGTAAGAAGGTAAGGAAAGGTGAGCAAAGATGTCCAGGGGAAGATAAGGTGTGCTCGATGGGCTGGCTTCTGGATGAGCAGTTTCAGGAAGACCATCCAGCTTACTGATGCACACAGCGTGGCATTCCCAGGGGGGATTACAAACCCAATCGATCCTGAATGTCACATGCTGGCAGAACAGTGAGGGAGAAGAGAACGGCAGGAAGTCAAGCCTTCAAATTATGAAAAAAAAAATCAGGTTTCTGAGAATACGAAGACATTTGGATGAATCCAAAGAGCAACGTGGTTTGGGCCTTTGTTATGCAGGGTGGTGGCATGACATTCGCACCCAAGCAACTTTGGGCGAATGGCCACTTCTGAGGCTGTTTCTTCATACATAAAATAGCCTCTTCTCATTGTAGTGAGAAACAAATCAATTTCAAAACCTGTTTCAGAAATGCTCCAATACTATGAAACTGCATTTATTAAATCTTCCCTAACAACTCTTGCTGAGAGGAGGATTGATTTCTACTACTTTACTGCTACGATAGGTTTAAGACATCCTGCTGCAACTCACACATACATTTGAATGACACAGATTCTCTGTGTTTCGCCTTTTTCCCATCTGCAACAGTATTTAGTGAGGGTAGTAACTCCTCGTAAAATAGAGTTAACGGAGGGATGATTGTATTTTTTGAGAATTTCCTCACGAGAGCGCCAGTGGTGCTTCAGTTGAAGAGAACAGCATGCCCGAGCACACTCATGGGGCAAAAAAGGAACTCGAAGTGGGGATCCTATTCCTCAATGGCTAAATCATCAGAAACTGTATTTGACTCATGAGGGAATCAGCAGTTAATCTGTGGTTTAAATACAGGCTGAAGAGCTGCTAGTTGGTCCCAGGGTCCACTTTAAAGCCACCACTGATTTACTCTGTGATCTTGGGCAAGCCAAATTCTTTCCAATCCTTGGTTTTGTCATAAGTAAACATGGTTTTTCCAGGGCTCAAATGTGCACACGTATGCACAAGAACCTTACAAATGATAAAGCACTATTCCACAATTCCTTAAAGAAATACAGAAAAAGCATCAAATGTATAGACAAAAAAAAAAAAAAGTCTGAAAGATATTACCACAAAAAGTTATCATTAGTTATTTCTGGGTGAGGAGATTATTTCTAGAAACTTCTCTGCCTTTTCTTCCCCATGTGCATGTATTGTTTGAAAACAGTAATAAAACCTGGTCTGTTTTTTAGGAAGGTGTTAATAGTTTTATTGACTTAAACCCTAAGCCTGCTTTAACAGTTTGAGGCTGATTCAGTATGAATTAATATTCAGAAAGTAACGCCTGTGTTGAGTGAGCGGACATCTATCAATTTTTTTAAAAGACAATTATGACATCGTTGCCAGAAATGCGCACATACATCTACAAGACAAAGTGCTGCATTATTTCCCAGTCCGACACAAATACTTTCTAATTTTCCAAAATGAACTATTGCTTGTTTTACTAGAAGGTGACATCAATATAGTGTTCATAACATTTTACAGTAGCTGTTTAGTAAATTAAAAATAAGAAAGAGGTCATCTTAAAGGATGATAAACTTAGGCAGAAATGTGTTATTCCCATGCCTTCAATAGTTTTGAAACAAACCTTCCCCTAAGAGAGGAGAGAAACAGAATGATTCACATTCTGGGGCTTGAGTTTGTTCTCATGCTGCTTATTGTAACAGACCAGTTCTAAGCTGAATGCTGCCGAGCACCGCCTGCCACCAGGCCAAAGGGAATGGAAGAATCAGCAAGAAAACAGGCCTGAATATAACATTATTTATTTTCAATTCCAGCACTTATTTTTGTATTTAATTTTTTAAAAGATTTTTAAAATTTATTTATTTTAGAGAGAGAGGGTGTATGTGAGTGGGGGAGGGGGCAGAGGGAATGAGAGAGAGAATCTCAAGCAGACTCCCCACTGAGTGGGGAGCCTGACTCGGGGCTTGATCTCACGACCCTGACATCACAACCTGAGCTGTACTGAAGAGTTAGACGCTTAGCCGACTGAGCCACCCAGGTGCCTCTCAATTTTAGCATTTAAAGAGATTTGGTCATTGCTTCTTTATTAGGCTAATTAGAAATATACCAGCGGGCAACGGCACTTTGCAATTATAAATATACAGTCTTATAAGACCTGTTGTGGTCTTTGAGAATATTATAGTATTTCACGTATGTATTCTATACAAGGAAGCTGACTGTTGTCCACTCCATGGCTCGCCTGCTCAGGCAATCGGGATCAAGCAGAACAAACACAGATGCCTTTAGCCAGAAAACTTCACGATCCATGGGAACAACAGTTTGATAAATAACAGCTTCACTTTTGGTTATCCGGTTGAGTTTCGTGGATATGAAAAAAACCACAAAAAAAATCCCTCAAGGCAAACCGTAGCTGGTCAAAGAGCCTAAAATATCAGAAAACTGTGATATGCTTAGTTTTTCAATATAAATTAAAATAAGGCCTGGGTGTCTGACCCTCTCTCTGGACTCGACTGACTGGTCTTAAGAAAAAGCAATAAATTGTTGGTAAGCGTCTGAAGCTATGATGATAAGGACTGCATGAACAATGAAAGGAAATCCTTTGAGAATTTTAGGTATTTTCAGTGGCTCCGTGTGTGAGCATGTGTCTGAGACATTCACAAGGAACAAGGCCCTGGGGAGAGGGAAGAAGGGGAGGCAATGGGGAGGGCAGAAAGGGGGAGATTTTAGGACTGAGTCATTATATGGCTTGTTATAATCATTAATTTTTAAGGATATATTGTTTGGACTATAGGGTGACTCTCCCTGAGTCTCTGGTAATAAGATCCTGATTCTATAGAAAGAACAAATGAACGAACGAAGGAACAAAAGGAACGAAGGAAGGAAGGAGGGAGGGAGAAAGGGAGGGAGGGAGGAAGGAAAATAAAGGAAAGAAAAGAAAGAAAAAGCCACACTAAATATTTACTGTGTTGTAGATACTTTGCCTGCCATCTCACTTAATGCTCATACCTCATCTCTGAATTAAGAATTATTGTCACCTTTGTTTTATAGACCAGGAAATAGCCACAGAGACTCTCTAACTTGCTCACCACACCCAGCAGAGCTGGAATTTAAACTCTGATGATCCACACCATTCAGGACTGTGGGGTAGCTACTATTCTGTGGGATGGTGGGGATGTGAAGGGGTTCTTGGTTATTACCACGAATACAGGGCAAGGGAGGACATTACTGGCTTCCAGGGGATGGGGACCAAGGATGCTAGATGCCGTGCACAGGGCAATCCCACACGAATAAAAATAGCTCTACATCCTCTACGATTTCCTAACTTCCTGCTGGACATTTGTTTATCTATGATTATGTGAGTTTACAGCGTAACTCAGTTGAATATATAAACACAAAGCATTTTTTGCATAGTTCTTACTGTAACCTGGATACACTAAGAGCTCATCACCGGGTACAATGAGGGAAGATTGTTTTCGTTAGAGCCTTCCCAAGAGTTCTTCACTATGTCAGGAAATCATCCACTGTTGCTCACAGAACCTGAATCGTGGAATCAGCCCTTGTGTCAGTCTACATTTGTATCTGTCACATCCATACAGGACAAACTCCTGACCACGTCACTCTTTCCACTAGCAGTCAAGCCTGAATACTTACGTGTTGAAACACTTATTATAAATTACATCCATTATATTGATTTTTCCCTTGAAACACTGTCAGTTCGTTTTATTTTAGGATTCACTGTTAAGGGCGCCTGGGTGGCTCAGTTGGTTAGGCGACTGCCTTCGGCTCAGGTCATGATCCTGGAGTCTCCGGATCAAGTCCCGCATCGGGCTCCCTGCTCGGCGGGGAGTCTGCTTCTCCCTCTGACCCTCCCCCCATCTCATGTGCTCTCTCTCTCTCTCTCAAATAAATAAATAAAATCTTTAAAAAAAAAAAAAAGATTTTGCTTTATCAATGACAGGTCTTTATTTAACAAGAGTATCAGCTCTTCTGATGAGGCTTGGGCAATGTGAGCAGCTGGGTCCTGGTCAAGGGTCCAGAGGCACTCAATCAAGGACTTTGCCCAAACGGGCATCTTGGCAGCACCCAAGGGCCCAGGGGGGGTGTCCATATGCACAAGCACAGACAGTCTCCTAGGACCCATGGCGGACAGGCCACTCTCAGAGTCTCCTCCTGAGTGGGGGTGTTTAAAGTCCATTGCTGTTCTGGGGTCTCTAAAATCTCTTGTGCTTAGCCTTCCAAAAACTGATCACTTTGGAGAAACCCAGTAGTGAACCCAAACTTCTTTCTTTCTTGGGTTATCGGGCAAGTGTTGGGGGGAGAATCACTGCTTGCCTCCTATCTTGGACCAAGACTTCCTTCTTATTTGATTTGGGAGGACAGTCAAGGGGTAGAAGACCAGGAAAACGGGGGACGTGTTGCCAGTGGCATCACAGTTTGCATTTTAGGAAGCAGGTTTGGTAAAACAGTTCCTCCCTCTATTTCTCCTTAAAAAGAACAACCAATATCCTTGCATTTCTTTTCCCTAAACAGAGTGGGTCAGTTTGGCTACTATTTAAAAATTTTAATATAAGCCAAATGTTTACTAGAATGCATATACTTTTTAATGGAGACCAAATATATTCATATATACATATGAAGTCAAGATAAAATGCCTGGAGCACATAAAGGAAGACTTATTTAACTGTTGGTATTATTTATACTACAAATATGACAAATGCAAAGTTAAATTTACCTCATTAAAGATACCAAGGAAATGCGGTATTCATATTAAGCAGTTAAGCTCTCAGTAAGAGTGAGAAAGTAAAGAGAAAATCTGAAATTCAGGAAATGCAACACCTTCTAGAAGAATATACACAATTTTGCTATTCTTTTTTTTTTTTTTTTAAAGATTTTATTTATTTATTTGACAGAGAGAGACACAGCGAGAGAGGGAACACAAGCAGGGGGAGTGGGAGAGGGAGAAGCAGGCTCCCCGCAGAGCAGGGAGCCCAATGCGGGGCTCGATCCCAGGACCCTGGGATCATGACCTGAGCCGAAGGCAGTCGCTTAACCGACTGAGCCACCCAGGCGCCCACAATTTTGCTATTCTTGGTGCTATGTGGCACCAAGATCATCGCATTTCACTGTATTCATTAAGTTTGAAGAAGCTAACATAAACAGGGCTGAGTGTTTTCGTTGTTGTTGTTCTTCTAAAAACTCTATATAGCCCACATTTGTATAGGATTCACAACATTTAAGGGAAATACCAAGTATTACATCAAACATACACAGTAATTTCTACAAATTAATTTTTACTCTGCTAATGTAGCTTACTTTGCTTTCTAAATCTTTCCATAATAAACTTTACCATAAATAAATTACAATTTCTAGTTTTTATTATTTTGGGGGGGGTGTGTGTGTGTGATCATAAAAATTCAGGTAGGCTCCGAAAGAGGTTTTATCCTACTTTTCCAAAATCAACAAGTAATGGAAAATATTAAATGGGAACATTTTACTTATAGAAACTACGTATTTGAAAGATGTGAAAAGGTCTCCGATTACGAGAAAGTGATAGGAAGTTCTTTGTAAATTATAATTTTAGAATCACTGCAGTTGAATAAATTCTCAAAGGCAGGGGTAATTTTTAACAAAGAACAGTCTAATCTATACATTTAAATTCTTTTTTCGTAAAAAGCTAAGGGTTGGACATAAATGACAAACATTTAACATTATTTGGTAAAAAGTGCATTAAGGGTTGTAATTTTCTACCAAAGGAAGTTTGTCAGACTTCAGTCCGATGTGGGACCTACTTCTCCCTGAATTAAACAGCTCCTTTAACAGCACATTGAGCCCTTTATACCAAATAATTTTTCCTGTTAAAGGAAAAGAGGAAATCTAGTGTGCGTTCAATTTACAAATGAGACTGGATATTTTCCACAAAGAATTTTCATTAGTAACTGAATGATGAGGATTTTAAAAGACCAAAATGTATCCACCTATTAAAAAAATGGTACAGTCAGCACTCTCTTATTAATAAATTTAATAAGGAAGTTACCCTCGTAACTGAAGTTCTTCAATTTTTAGAAGTCTTTAAATTTTTTCTCTATGTCAGAATTATTTTTATAAATGGTGAAGTGTTAATTACTTTTATGTTACAAATGAGTAGCTGGTATTACTACTATAAGGTGCACTTTTTTCAAATTAATGCAACAAATTTGGGGCAATTACTCACATGGAAATTGTCCACAGAAAGATTTTCTGTAATGGTTCTTCAAGAAAAAACTTCTGTAGTACACTTAAGGTCTGATACTGAGCTCAAATTTAGTCTGAGGTGTATACTGACTGCATTTTGAGGTATCTTCACTATAAATAGTCATATTACAGTTATTACCACTATCTGAACTTGCCACTCTCATAAAGACACTCACAGGTAAAATCTGGTGTTCTTAAAAAAAGTGCTATTAGTGTTGAGAAATCAAGGTGTTCCTGTGTTTGAAATTGCGTACTTCTGAACATGTAAAAATGTTTATGGAATAAAAAGAACTAAAAGATGTTGTCTCATTAAGAAATACTACTTAGAAGTTTCTGCTAAGAAATCCCTGTGAATGAAATCATCCAATGTGCAAATTTGTTGACAGAGAAAATCCTCTCTGAGCTATCATAGGACAAAACACGTAGATTGATTCGCTTCTGAACTCTGAGAGCTGCCTTAAATTTAACTTTCTAAACACAAAGTTGCTTACATCTTCAGCAAAATTACATTTTATTTGTAGGTGGTTCTTTATCTTTGCCTGTAACATTCGGTGCAATCTGAAATTTAATGCACTAGAATAAATAACCAGCAAAGACTATTTCAAATCTCTGTTTCTGCAGGCCCCATGAAAACTTCTCCCCGCGGGAGAAAAACTGACATAATTTCATCCCGTCTGTTTGCTCTGAAGGTGAGCCTAGACTGTCTGCTGCCTCATAAACACACACTGAATACTGTTCTCTTTTTTTTTTCCAGAAGCAACGAAATACCTCTCGGTGAGAGAGTATTTTGTTTTTCGAATGCATATAAGAAGTCACCACTCAAGAATATCAGAAAGATGTATATACACACAGACCAGAATGTTCTTGTTCTCACCAGGGCCTCTTACCTTCATTTTCTGTATTGGCTGGCACCGAGTCGACCCCAAAAGGATGCCAGGGTTGGAGATCGTCCAGGCCGAACTCCCCATTCACGGGAAGAAGCTCCACGGTGGTTTTCGTTTCTGTCAAAGACGGCATGAGGGCATCGTTTCCGTAACTGATTCTTGGTTCACTGATCATGTTGGCCAAGACGTCATCCGAGTAGTTCTGCTCTTTCTGAAGCAGCTCATCTAAACAGAACAGAGCCGTATGTATGGTGGGTCACAGCAACACGCAGGACTGCCGCAGGGGCTACCATTTCCTGTCAGCCAGACGCAACCTGAACTGCTCTGCACACACGACCTCATGCACAGCCAGGAGGTGGGTACCACCGTCGGCTCCATCTGACAGATGTGAAAACTGAGGCCTGTGGCAGCTGAGGCACTTATGTAAAACCACAGCAAGTGCCCAAGGCAGGATGTGAGCCGAGAGAGATTGGCTGCCACCTAGGCTGTGGCTTCTGAACGGCTGTACCACTCCTCCCCACGATGAAGGACCTCAAGAGTGAAATCTCCCCTTCCTCCTCGGACACAGGCTCTGGTATCCTGTGATCACAGGGGAATCAACAGCGTGCTCTGCTGAGCTGTGTGCCGGGACGTGGTGGCAGCGTGCAAGGGACAGTGGCCTCGCACAGATGAAGCTCTGCTGCAGCCTGCTCCGCTGGGGGCGAAACCTCCCTGCCTCCCAGCATCTGTCTTGCCCTCTCGAGCCAAATTTCCTGCCTCTTCCCGCTGCCGTTTCTCTTCAAAAAATGCTATCAGTTACCAACACCCCCTTTTTAAAGATTACTTATTTATTTGACAGAGAGAGAGAGAGCGAGCACACAAGCAGGGGGAGTGGGAGAGAGAGAAGCAGGCTCCCTGCAGAGCAGGGAGCCCGACATAGGGTTCAAACCCAGGACCCTGGGATCATGACCTGAGCCGAAGGCAGATGCTTAACAACTGAGCCACCCAGGCGTCCCTCAGTTACTCCTTTTAAAAAACGGACTAAATAAAACCAACTTTATGGAACATAATTGACTGATATAGACTCGTGAAGATTCCTACATTATACATTTCATTACTGCAATGCATTTTTACTGGAAAAGAGAGTTGGGAATATAACCTTGTACTGATTGGAATCATTGCTTTAAATACGGGGTTATAACAAGATTTGTGACTCTCCTATAATTCCACCACAGGTCACCAGGTTTTTCTGTGGAATATATTTTTTAAAATTAGACACCCACGAATAGCATGTGTGCTATTAAAAATGATAATTAATCAGAATATCTCATCTCCCAATCATACCTCTGTCAAGAGTTCACTGTATTATATATTTCAGACCAATCACTGGTTAGTATTATTGCTGCAGAAAATGAAGAAAATAAAATCAGGATTTAAATTTGATTTGTAGGGGCGCCTGGGTGGCTCAGTTGGTTAAGCGACTGCCTTCGGCTCAGGTCACGACCCTGGAGTCCCAGGATCGAGTCCTGCATCGGGCTCCCTGCTCGGCGGGGAGTCTGCTTCTCCCTCTTCCCTCCCCCCGCCATGTGCTCTCTCTCTCTTTCTCTCTCTCTCTCTCAAATAAAATCTTTTTAAAAAAATAAATTTGATTTGTAGTATTTTCCTATCATCCTTCACCATTCTCTTTAAATTGAAAAAAAATTTTTACCTGAAAAAATTCTGCTCCAACAGGTCAATTAAAACAATTTGATAGAAGAGCATTAAAGCATGAGATTAATGTCCTTCTCTGGAGCCAGTTTTATTGCGAGATACCATTTTAAATGATGAAATTCCAAGACAATCAGTCCTTCTGAAGTCTAATTGGAGTTATAATATATAGCTATTTGCTGCTGCACCATTCTAAAATTCAATATTTGATGCTTGTAATGACCTTTCCCATGCAGATGAAAGGGGCCCATTAGATTTATTCCAACTCTTTCAGGTCTTACACAGTCATGGGTAATGGCTAATAACTTAGCCAATGTCTGCTTTAATAAATTAAATGGGCATTTCTTTTATATAAATCTTATGCTTCTGACTGTTGAGCACTTACAATACTAAAGAGATGATCTTCTGGAATAATTATTGGCGCTCACACGTTCGTCTGAGAGGGAATAACCTTCACCAGCACGATCTGCTCTTGGCTCCACCTCGAGGCACGTTGGTATCTTTGTGGCATTTACTGCCACTTTCCCTCTGGAAACTCTTTCTCTCTGTCTTGCAACCTCAGTACCATGCTGGTTCCCTGTGACTTCTCCGAGGAACTCCGCTTGTTCCTTTTTTCTGATCTCTTCATCCCTATGTTTTCTTTTTGTATCTCCATCCAACTCTTTCTGCAATTTTTCATTTGGAAATCCATCCCCTCTTGAAGCTCTAAGGATGAACTGGAAATGTCTTTCCCCAGACTTCATTTCTTCCTCCCACTCTAGGTTCTATATATGTCTAAGTTTGCTGGGCCTATTAACTTACATCTCCCATGAACTTAGTATGTACGAAACTGAGCTCAAGGCCCCCTTGCTCTCCCTCCTGCCTTCTCCTGTTGTAATCATGGAAGAGCTATGATCCCAGCCACAGGTCTGAAATCTCCATAACCATCTGTAGCTCTATTTCTTTGCGTCCCATACATTACTGACAACTTGATTTTTTTTTTAAAAGATTTTTTTGACAAAATTTATTTATTTGGCAGAGAGAAACACAGCGAGACAGGGAACACAAGCAGGGGGAGTGGGAGAGGGAGAAGCAGGCTTCCAGCAGACCAGGGAGCCCGATGCGGGGCTCGATCCCAGGACCCTGGGATCATGACCTGAGCTGAAGGCAGACACTTAATAACTGAGCCACCCAGGCGCCCGACAACTGCTTTTAAAATTCCATTTCTGGATTCTCTTTTTTTTTTTTTAATTTATTTGAGAGAGAGAGACAGAGAGAGAGCATGAGAGGGGGGAGGGTCGGGAGGGTCAGAGGGAGAAGCAGACTCCCCGCCAAGCAGGGAGCCCGATGCGGGACTCGATCCCAGGACTCCAGGATCATGACCTGAGCTGAAGGCAGTCGCTTAACCAGCTGAGCCACTCAGGCGCCCCTCTGGATTCTCTTATTCATTTCTCACTCCCCCTTTCTACAATCTTCCTCCCTTGAACCATCATTACTTTCTGCCTTGATAACTGTGAAGTCTGTTGTTGTCTCTGCTCTGTTCCCCATATCTTTTTGTGATACTGAGGAATGGCTCTGCCTCATTCCAGTAACTCCCCATTCCCTACTGAATTAATCCCAAACGCTACTTTGCCAGATATTAAAGGCTCTCTGTGATCTGGGCCCACCTCATCTTTGTAGCTATGAGGCTCAAGCCCTTTGCTGTATACACCTGTGATACAGTGATTTATAATAATAAATCTATATTTGGTCTTTGTAGGCACAGAGCTCCTAAAACCCTTGAAATTTCATAGGTGATGAGAGGAATAAAGGTATCTTTTAGTTATGTTATGAAGCAACTTTTGAAAAGCCTATAGGTCACCGAAGGATGGGGGTGGTCACCAGAGGAACTAACCATGTGATCAGAGGGTTAGAACTTTCAGTCCCCCTCTGGGAGGGGAGAGGGGCTGGAGACTGAGCTCAATCGCCAATGGCCAACGATTTAATCAACGAAGTTTATGTAATGAAGCCTCTATAAAAACCAAAAGGACAGGGTTCTGGGAGCTCTGAGGTTGGTGAACACGTGGCGATGTGGGAACATGTTGAAAGCTCCCAGTCCTTTCCTACAGACTTTCCCACTTGGATGTTGCTATAATAAATCCGTAATCTAGTAAGTAAAATGTTTCCCTCTGTTCTACAAACTAATAGAACCTGAGGAGGAGGTGGATGGAACTTCTGATTTATAGCTGTGGTCATCAGAAGCACAGGTGACACCTGGACTTGCAATGGGCTGTTGGGGGCAGGGCGGTGGGAGTCTTGTAGGACTGAGCTCAGACTTTTTTTTTTTAAAGATTTTATTTATTTCTTTGACACAGAGAGAGATAGCCAGAGCAGGAACAAAAGCAGGGGGAGTGGGAAAGGGAGAAGCCAGGCTTCCTGCCGAGCAGGGAGCCCGATGTGGGACTCCATCCCAGGACCCTGGGATCATGACCTGAGCCGAAGGCAGATGCTTAATGACTGAGCCACCCAGGCGCCCCTGAGCTCATACTCTTGTGGGATCTGCACTACCTCTAGGTAAATAGTATTGGAATTGGGTTGAATTGATTGAATTCTCCAACTGGATGCTGGAGAATTGCTTGGTGGTATGGAGAAAACCCTACATATTGGAACTGGACCGACAGCTCTGTCAGACCGAGTGGCTTAGATTATCTCCAGATGGGACCAGGCATTCCCATCAGGCCACCTTTACTCTCTGTTCCTGCTACATGGGAAGATCATCTCTGCTTATTTAAATTATATGAACTTTTGAAAGATCAGCTCAAATGCCCTCTTCTCTATAACTCTACTCTTAACAACTTTATGAGGATTATGGACATTATTATTTTTATGAGACGGGAAACTGAGGCTGGGATGGATGACCGAATCTCTTTAAGATCCCATGGCCAGTGGGCGTCAGTGCTGAAGTCCCTGCTCTGGGCTGCAGAACACCCACCTCCCTGCCTGCGACCCCCACCTATCCAGCATCCACAGCCCCAGAGCAGAGCTCACTCCTGGTCTCAGCACTGCATCGCTTATTTGCAGAGTGATTATAAGCCTAACTGTTTCAGAACGTTTGTCACACTTACAGGGCTGCAAGCCGACTCAAACACCACCAGCCCTATGGAATGGTTATTGCTTTTGCACCTTTGAATAGGCATTTTCCAGGCACCGGAGCTGAAGGGAGTCCTGTACCCGTCTCAGCCCATGGCAGTAAAAAGGGTAGAGCAGGAAACAGTCACAGTGGAAAATCTTACGTCTGTACTTCATAAAATATCCAGGACATTTTGGGTTGTAGCAAATCGTGGTGCCTGCTTTTCTCTTTTATCTCTTATGCTGTTGGCAGAAAATTTCCTCCAAATGGCCACTCAAATGTTAAGCCCCATGGTAGTTAATTTTCCTGGTTTATTATATTCATGTTCAGAATATGAGAGAATGAAACATTCAAGAAATGTTACATTTTTGGCAGACTGAAAAGCACTTAGGCTTTTTTTTGGGGGGGGGGTACAAAATAGCAGAAATCCATGTTTTAACCTCAGTTTAAT